GCACTATTTCCATTTTTGTATATGTGATTATTTTTTTCCTTTGGGGAAACAGAGGCAGCTATAAAATGATCTAGTGTTTAGCACTTGGGTAGCTAGAGGAGACTACCTGCAATTCCACCAAGCTGATATAGAGAAAGAAATCAAGTGAAAAACAGAGAAAGATAAAAAATCATAAAAAGGACATCAAAGACAAAGAAACCAGGGGGTAAATGGAAAATTAAGAGATATATAATAATGGGATGTGAGGAGGGTACTAGAAAGTACATGAGGATCTTATTAAGCCAAACTAATTTTAAAAGCATGCCAGTCTGCCTGGCAGGTGTGGCTCAGTGGTTGAGCATAGACCCACGCACCAAGAGGTCGCTGGTTCGATTCCCAGTCAGGGCACATGGCCAGGTTGTGGGCCTGATCCCCATTGGGGGGGGCATGCAGGAGGCAGCCAATCGATGTTCTCTCTCATCAACGTTTCTATCTCTCTCTCCCTCTCCCTTCCTTTCTCTCTAAAAATCAATAATGAAAAACAATTTTTTTAAAAAATCATGCCAATCTTATTATTTACTTAAAAAATCATCATATCCGCTGCAAAAAAAAAAAAAAACTACCAAAAAATAAACCCTAAAATTAGTATTGCCTAAAATAACTTCTATTTCTATCCATAGAGCAATGGGTAATTAAATGATACACCATGTTGGGTTGAATCATATGAAGTTTCCCATTTTTGATCATTTTTCCAGCTTTATTGAGAAATAATTGACAAATAAAATTATATATACCTAAAGTACACAATGTAATAAATTGATAGACATACACATTGTGAATTCTCATAATTAAGTTAATTAACATATTCATCACCTCACATAGTTACCTTTTTTGTGTGTGATGAGAATGCTTAAGATCTATTCTCTTAGCAAATTTCAAGTATACAATACAGTACCATTAACTATAGTCACTATGCTGTACCACAGATCCCCAGAACTTAATCATCTAATAACTGAAAGTTTGTACCCTTTAACAGACACCTCTCCCTCAATCATTATTCTACTTTTGACCATTTTTAGCCTACTGACATAGCAACTGCACTTAGTTCAACCTAATACAATTGAATACTTTGCCATCATTAAAAAGAAATTATCTCTATATTAGATTGCCAAACAAACAAGACACAGCATGTGTATAGAATGTTCCCATTAGTCATTTTTAAAGTACACCAAGAAAATGGCCTCTGAGACAGACCATCACCAAGTATCTTCTCACACCGTTTGAATGTCTTATTACATGCATAAATTACTGTTTCAACTAAGAAAAGTCTGGACACTTTTCAAATGCCACATTAAATTAAGCTTCTTTATTGACATTCAAGTTACTTAAAACATTAACCAGTATTTACAGCAACAAAACACTTCAAATAAGGTAATTACTTAAAGTTAGTGGCCTTTTTTTACTTCAAACCTAAGCTAGATACCAAAGAGTTTTATTACCCTAAGGATCTTAAAGGCAACTAAAATAAGCCCTATATTTTAACATGCACTATGTTTTTCTTTTCTTTTTATTTTTTGTTTTGTTTTGTTTTTTATTACTCCTCACCTGAGGGTATTTTTTTCATTGATTTTTAGAGAGAGTGGAATGGAGAGAGGGAGAGAGAGAAATATTAATGTGCTCATATCGATTGCTTGCCTCCCACACATCACCAGGCCAGGATCAAATCTATGACCCTTCAGTGCCTGGGATGATGCTCTAACCACTGAGCAACACCGGCCAGGGCGCAAGCACTGTTTTAACATCTATTTATATAAAGCATTTATATGTAATATGTACAGTCATTCATGCAACAAGTTTTTAAATCTCTATCTGTAACTTACTCTGCTGTAGATCCTCTGTACCTCTATGCACAAGTGTTTCATAAAGAGCATATTTATGCATACATATATAAGCCTGTGTATATGTGTGCAGCTATGTGCACATGTGCCACACACACCATCCTGGGCAGCTACTCAATCAGGATCAAAGATGTGACTAGTAATCACAACCTTTCAGATCTGGTGGTCCCTCAGTCTACCTTCAGGATATTGGGAGAAAGAACTGCTACTGCTGTCTTAAAAACCACTAGGCCATGGAATAGTCCTAGGGCCTCTCCTCCAGGATATACCAATCTTACATATCCGTGGAGGGGATCAAGCCAGTTTGTCTTTTTCTTTTTTTTCTTTTTTATTTTTATTTATCCTCATCTGAGGACATTTTTCGATATTTTGTTCAGACAGAGTGGGAGGGAGAGAGAGAGAGAGAGAAACATCGACGTGAAAGGGACACATCGAGTGGCTGCCACCCACACAACCCAACCAGGGCCGGGGACAAACTGCAACCGAGGTACATGCCCTTAGCGGGAACGGAACCTGGGTCTCTCTAGACCGCAGGCCAACGCTCTAACCGCTGAGCCAAACCGGCCAGGGCCAGTTTGTCTTTTTCTAAATATCTTTTCCATTAACTATTATCTGGATCATGATTGAAGACTGGGAACCAATATGAAATTTAGCAGTTCTCATTCTATGAATTCCCTCACTGCCTTCACCCTCTTCCCTGAGAATCAGTATATGTGCTAAAGAAATGTAACTTATGAGATCTGTAACATATATGAACAGTATGGGTTGGGGGATGGGACAGGCAGGGAGGCTGAGCTCACTGGTCTCAGCAGGTTTAGGCCCTGATCTCAGATGTTTGTACATGGAAATGCTGATTAACTTACAGGCATTTATACAAGCTAGAATAAAATGCAGAATTTCTGAAATTATATACATCTTGGGAAATTTAAGAAACATTTCATTTAATGGTCACTAATGATCTATATTCATGGCAAAATGTATGTGCTCAATAGTTTTATCAGAAAAGTAAATGAGAAATAGCCCTGGCCGGTTTGGCTCAGCGGTTAGAGCGTCGGCCTGCGGTCCGGAGAGATCCAGGTTCGGTTCCCACTAAGGGCACGGACTTCAGTTGCAGTTTGTCCTCGGCCCTGGTTGGTCGTGCGGGTGGCAGCCACTCGATGTGTCCCTTTCACATCGATGTTTCTCTCTCTCTCTCTCTTCCTCTCTCTCCCTCCCACTCTATCGGTACCAAAAATGGAAAAATGTCCTCGGGTGAGGATTAAAAAAAAAAAAAAAAGAAAAGTAAATGAAAAATAACAATAAATATGCTTTTTAAAAAATGTATAGTCTTAATAAACATACTTTACCACAATATCAAATTTAAATAATACAATCTTAGCTATTACCATGAGTTCATAAACACTACAAATTTGTTGTTTGATTTTAATCAATTCAAATTAGAGCTGTCTCTAAATTTTCTTTCAAACTGTTTCAATTTACTGGATAATCTTGATATAAGCATGCATGAAATTTAAGTATATAAAATACACTATTTTTTAAAACTTGCCATTTTGACCATTATTAAGTTTTATGAACTTTTTAAAAATTAAGATTTCAAATGTTAAAGGTATTGTTAAGAAAGTTCCTGTCTTGTTTAGCCTTAACCTTCTAAAAATATATTAAACCCCACATCCTGAATTTATCACCAATGATATAAAATTCAAATGTCACTATTAAAAGAAATTACAAGATATGCTCTGAAGAAATGACTAAAGCAATCCTTTACTTTTTACTAACCACCAGGTTAACAGTTGTGTGTGTGCTTATACATATTTTATTTTATTTACTTATTTATTTTCATCTTTATTGTTGAAAGTACTACAGATGTCCCTCCTATCTTCCCCCAATGATCCCCTCCTCTCCACTCTCACCCTCCTCCTGCCTTCCCCACGCTATTGTCTGTGTCCACTAGTTATGCATATACGCATATCAGTTCTTCGGTTTATCTCTTCCCACCCTGCCCCTTTCCCTCTGTATTTATTTTAGGAAAAAAAGGAGGCAGGCCAATATAAACATGAGTCCATAGGCATATAATAAAAGTTATATTTTCATATAGGGGTCTACTGACCTTAGAAAACAAATTCTCATAAAAATATGAGATGATAAATTTTTCAAATTTATTTTTAAAGAACACAGATCCAATGATTTTATTATTTCATTTTTCAAATTCCTCATTAACGTCTCCCACTAATAACAAACTTTCCACGTGATGGTTTTAAAACTATAATGAAAATTAGAATATATAAATAATCCTTCAGTCGTCAACATTTGCTTTGTATATGTTCACGATCAAAGGAAAATTCAACTTGGAGCTCGCACAGATCAATAGTACCTGCTACATAAGAGTTAACACAGCATGCTAATCTCATATAATACAAAGAGGTTATTAATAATTATGCGTATGTTGGTAAAATTTGAGCTGTGCACTTCGCGGGAAGCTACAACGCAAAAGCCTGGCCTGCTGCTGTTCGAGCCACGGAGGGTGCGGATAACCTCGAGCATCATTTACTAGTGGAGTCGCGTGAGGCCTCTCCCTTCCAAACTGCAGCAGGAGACAAAGGGGCTTTCGGGTGTCACCTGCCCAGCACCCTCTGAGAGTGGGCCAGGGAAGCGGCAGGCTGCTGCCCTGGAAGGGAAGGTGGCGGGGCACTGCAGCCCTGGCTCATCGGCCTGTACTCTCACAGAGAAACGCACACACTCTACAGAACCTTTGCTCACCAGGGAGGGCAAAAAATAAAACATTCCTTTTAAGTTCCCGGAGTGGGAAGTCAACAGCTCCTTTGCTTTTCCCACGCTCCCGTCGAGAGGCTACTTCGCGTCTCCTCCACCTCCTCTGCTGCGGAGCTCCCCAGGAACCCTCCCAGCGGGCGCCCTCGTGGGGCCCCGGAATCCCTGACAGGGCTCTGCGGTCCAACTCCCCTGGCCCCGCCCCAGCCCCGCCCCCCGCCCCGCCCCGCCCCGCCCCGCCCCACCGATCCCCACGCTCCGGGATCTCCGGGCGCGCTCCCTGCGCCCCAGGCGCCCTCTCTCCTCCACTCCCCGCCCCGGCGCGTCCTGCCCACGCTCCCCTCCGGCCCGCCTCACCTTGGTCCGGATCTGCCCCGAGGTGGACACTTTGCGGATCAGTTTCTGGGGTCCCTCTTGTTCTGCTTCGCTGTCGGACGAATCCTCTCCGGGCCCCGCCGAGGCAGCTGCGGGGGTGACCACGGCGCCGGCCCCAGCAGGCGCTCCTCCGGCAGCCCCCGGAGGGTGGTGCTGGCCGCTGGCCCCGGCCATCCTCTCCGACTCCTGCGGGGACACAGCACCGCCCGGCGGGGGCGGCGGCAGTCAGTGGGTGGGCTGTGCCGGAGCCGGCGGAGCCCTGCACCCAGCTGCCGCCGCCATCTTCCGCTCCCCCAGAGGCGGCCTCGGGGGAAGGGTCTGCGGGGTCAGGCGCCCTCCCGCCGGGGCGCGGGGCCGGCTCCGGCCCGCCTGGGACGCCTGCACACCCAGCCTCGGGAAGGTATAGGAGTCCTGACCCAGAGTACGACCAGCGCGGGTAGTGAGGGTGGTAGTGACAGAGGGAACGGGACAGCCTCCCCGTTCCCCCAGGGTCTGTTGTCCCCAGGATGGGCGAGCGAGCGCGGGGAGGACGAGAAACCTCCGCAGCCGACCGGCCGAAGGCCAGCCGTGGCGATACTCGCGGCTTCGGTTCCTGGGCTGTGGAAGCAAGAACGGCCCATGGAGTAAAGAGGGAACCCGGAGTTTCCTCCGGACTCCCTGGGGTGCACCCCGCCACCTCCTGGACCCAGAATCTCCCCAGAGAGACTGGGGCCTTCTCCACACAGTCCCCGCTAAACAAAAGTCCCCTACGCCGGCGAGGTGCTTGGTGCTGCCCCGCGTCTGTGTCAGGAGCCCCCCAGCCTTTCTCCAGCGAACCACACCTCTCCCGCCTCTGCGCTTCAGGTCCTTCCTTTCAGCCTCCCGACAGTGGCGTTCAGTTTCGGGCCCACCCCCACTCCCATCCGGCGCACACGGAAGAGAAGAGCATTTTCCGGGAGGTTCCACTCCGCTCTGAGAACTTTTCGTACAGAAAGAGCAATCCCTTTGGCTAACAGGAAACTGGCAAGGACGGAGAGGGAGCGCAGAACCGAGAGTACACGATGCCCAAGACGAAAGAATGTAAAGTTCTAAGTTGAAGCGCTGCCCGAGACTGCCTGTTAAACAATGCACTGGAGCCCTGTGAATACCAGTGCCCGAGCATGAAAACAGTGGAAGTCCTGGGAGAGCCACTCCCTAGCCCGAGCTACATCAGGAGGAAATGGGATCAACAGGCTGCAGCCACCGCTCACAACTCGTCCCAAGGGAGCTGCTTAAGCCGACACTTGGGAATGGCAGCCTCAGGGTGGGTTGTGCATGCACATCGTCGAAGAAACCCATGCAGGTGTGGGAGGCCGGGAAGGCTTGGAGAAGAAAATACAAAAATTACAAAGTACTCTTGTCATTCACAGATAACTCCAAATTGGTGCTGGCTAAATTTCAAAGTCTGGCAAAAAAAAAAAAAGTCCCTACCAGGCTGTGGAGTCCCTTCACACTTTGGTAAAAAGCAATCTTTAACGTGTTCATGGGCCTTCAGTACCCATTTGTAATTTTTCCGTTAACATGACCTATTTTTTCAGTTGATATAACCTTTAGTGGTAGTCCAAATTAAGATTCTATTAGTTCGGGTTTTTTCTTTTTTAGTGACATTACTCTCAATAATATGCTGTGTCAAAAAAACGAACAGTTCTGGTAGATTTTAAGAAACAGTTAAGAATACTGTTAAACAGTATGCAATCCCAATACTGTATTTACACATTGTAGATGAAATGCATCACAATTGAAAATGTTCTGGTTTGGCCCTGGCTGGTTTGGCTCAGCGATTAGAGCTTCAGCCTGGGGAATGAACTGTAGTAGGTTGGCTTCCAGGTCCAAAGGCATGAACCTAGGTTGCAGGTTTGATCCCCAACTGGGGCCCTGAGGGAGGATGTGTCTCTTACTCTCTCACATAATGTTTCCCTCTCTCCCACCTTTCCTCCCTCCCTTCCATTCTATCTAAAAATCAATGGAAAAATACACTCCTGTGAGGAATCACAACGTTAAATGAATAAATAAAATATTCTGGTTTGTTTGAATCTTCCAAGACAGGAGATTGCTGCCATGTAATACTAATTGATAGAGGCCACTTCTCCAGCCTCGGTTGTCTTCTTTAGTCAAGGAAGGAGTTGGGCAAAATAAACTTTGAGCCCTTTTGGCTCTGTAAATATATAATTCCGTATCTACAAAGAACATTACTGGGAGTGGAATTCTTTAAGAGAAAAAAATAGCTAATCAAAATAATGGCCTGTATCCCAACCTAGCTGTTTGCTCACTGCTAAGTCCAAATGGTTCCACAATGTAGCTGAGAACACCTAGTAAAGGGCCTTTTTAAAGAATAAATCTAGTTCAAACATCTTTTAATGTAAAGAAACTGAGGTTGGGACCAAACTAAACAATCATGATTACTATTTTAATGTTCCCTTTACCACTATATAATAAGTTAGTCTGTCAATTATGTTTCTATTCATACTTTAGGCTCTCAGGTTTTATATAGTAACATTTTTCCAGAATCCAAGCAGAGAGAGAGAGTGATTAAACTGAAAGGCATTGTTTAATGCCCATGCCTATTCATTCTGTGATCTTAAGAGAATGGAATACTTTCTCACTCTGATTCAAACAGTGATTGCTTAAAGAGACTTTAAAACAGTTTCAAGTACAAGAGCTGGACAATTAATACCTCAAAGTAAAGGTATTCATTACTTCATAAAAATGCAACCTGTTATCCCTGCTCTTCAAAGACTCCTGTAACAAGTTCTAGAACTTGGTTATAACTTTTGAAAATACGGCCAGTCAGCCTGTTAATGCTAAACATATTATCCCTGCTCTGCAATTTCCCCAGCACATAGAACCCTCAAAGTGAAAATAATGTGAAGGAAGGAATGTCACTTCATTTCCCAGAAAAGGCAGTGTATGAAAAGCCCTCTTTTCTTCAGTCATCTCTACTGAAGAGAATGTTTTAAGTAATCCCTAATTTAATGTACCTGACCCACTAGATTCTTCTCAGGTCTTATCTGTAAATTGTAAGTTTCCAGAATGAATATTCAATCTGTTACATTGTGTATCTGCAATACACTCTACTTCCCTTAAAATATAACAGCAATGTCAAGAGCTCAGTATTTTCAACCATTTTAATGTAGCTCAAATCAGTGGCTGAAACAAATTTCAAATACGTAGTATATTACATTATTTCTTTGATTTACAAGACTTCCTTGACTTTTTTCCTTACTTGGTGTTTTTTTAAATGTGTCTTACATATTTATTTTATTATTGTTACTTTGAATGTGTCTTACATATTTATTTTATTATTGTTACTTTGAAATTACTGGAACATAACATCATAAACACACTATTAAAAATTTGGACATAAGCCATGTAGAAACTGCATTCAGGATGAAATGGAAATAGAAGCTACCACTAAATTAGGTTTCTACTTGATAGAGCTTCCTGTCCCATTTAAAAAAAAAAAAAAAAAAAAAACTATTATACTGAATGTGTATAAGGAGGAACAGCCAATTCTCATTTTCATACCAACTTTATGAATGTTAGCATATTATTATTCATAAATATTTTGAATTATATTGTTGATCACAACTTATAACAATAAAAGGTGTAATATCTATTTGAGATTTTTAAATCCTGTATGTTTTATGGCTTTATCTTAAATACTATATCATAACCATGCAGAAGTCTACTTTTATATCCTGAAGAACCCAAGTAGGAACTTTAAATAAAGTCACTTTCCACCCTGGTCAGTTTAGCTCAGCGGTTAGAGCGTTGGCAAGAGATTCCCGTCAAGGGCATGTACCTTGGTTGCAGCCAGTTGTGTCTCTCTCACATCGATATTTCTCTCTCTTCCTCTCCCTCTCTTCCTCTCTCCTTCCCTCCCACTCTATCTGATGATAAATATAAAAATATCCTCAGGTGAGGATTAAAAAAAAAAACAGTCATGTTCTAGGACTCATGTTCCCAACCAACAGGAATCAGGCAGAGAACACTGCGGGTTGAACAAGTACTGGCCTGCTTTCAACCAAACGTCAGAACTACTTCTGTAATACTCTATCTGTTAGAAATTTAGAATTTAACATCCAAAAGTTTAATGACGTTGCCTTAGTTGTTACCGAATAAAAAAGATTGAGATTAATCATGACAGCAATTGCATGAACCTAAGAAAAACTTTTTGTCATCTAGACCTAATACATAAATATACTTATAACATCTCATTTAAATGTTGGCCCTTTTTCCTCTGAAACTCTTCCCTCCTAATTTTCCATTAGTTCTGAGTAGTTTCGTAAAAGCCAACTAGATATAAAAATCATTTGGAAATAAAACCAATTTATTTATTTATCTTCACCTGAGGACATTTTTGCATTTATCTTCAGATAGAGCAGGAGGAAGAGAGGGGGGAAGAGAGAGAGAGAGAAACATGGATGTGAGAGAGACACATCGACTGGTTGCCACCCACACGACCCCAACCAGGGCAAGGACAAACTGCAACCGAGGTACGCAACCTTAGTGGGAACTGAACCCAGGACTCTCTGGTCTGAGGGCCAACACTTTAACCACTGAGCCAAACTGGCCAGGGCAATTAAAACAAGTTTATATATATATATCCTAGTATCACTCCACTGTCTAAAAATTACTTTGCAAATACACCCACACTTCTAAGTTTCGACTGTTTTTTTACTAAGTTTGGCTATTTCCTATCCATCTATTCCCACCACCAAAATATGTTTTAATTAATTAGAAATTTAGGTTATACCTCTGTCTCCACTAACTTGATTACATTCTGAAGTTAGCATTAAGGAAAATACACCAATACCTGAATGCTAACATTTTTAGGTCCACCGTCCTAGCTGAAGTAACGGTACGGCTAGCAGTTTATTTACATACCCTTGCTTAATTAAATCATTTCACCTTCAAGTACAAAAATGTCATGAAGTCCAGCAGCTGCCTCTCAGTTCTAAACATGGATACATGTCAATCAAGAAGTGCTGTGCTCTTTGCTATTACTCAGCATCAATTCCCAAGGTTATGTTTACTCTTCCATGAATAGTTCTATGTAGAATTATAACATCATGTTTTAGATTCCATCAAAAAATAAAAAAAAAGAATGAGAGTAAATTTTTACATGTATGCTATTATATGCAACATGGGATAATGCAACAGGATCTATG